GTCTAGGATATGCTCAATAGGTACTGCAGGTTTCCCTGCTGTGTTGCATGCGCATCGCCATAGGTTGGTCGGGGTGCGCGTAAAAGTAGTCGCCACTTGCAGATCTGATCCGCTGCGCAACATGTTAGCGCGGTCGTTCTCCAGGCCGAAGTGGCAGAAACGCACGCGCACGACTTGCAAACCAAGATATTCAATGGCTTCTCGTATGGGACCTGGTTTCCAGAAGTACCCCGGTGGCCCCACGAGTGCAATGGTCATACGTAGAACCCGAACTTTGGACATGAAATGTTGGATGCGTTGGTGGTATGGTTCTGCCCTCTTACCAGGCAGCCTCACATACCAATCAGGAGGTGTTGCCACCCACAACAGTTGGTCATCGCCCAAGAGCAATGCACCCAAATACTGTGTACCAGTGGGGGTCATTACCTCTGTATGTGTAATACGGTCACACATGTATCCACGGGCTCGGAGTTCAGCGCAAGCTGCCCGTATATCTTCAATAACAAATGCACGAGAATGATAATGATGCGACAATCTTTCTTTTTTTCTGCAGCGGCCACACATCCGGGTCCACTGCAGGTCGCGGCAGCCGCGCAGCCAGGCTTGCCGCGGTCCCTGGCGCGCACAGCCGGTGCCTGGGAAAAGAGTGCAAGTTTCTCCGCCTTTGCTGACAACACCTGAGTGCTCGGCCTGTCTGGGCAAGCGCGAGTGGCCGTGGCGCGCGCCTGCCCCCGTCACTAGTTTGGCGATGGGGGCGTCCGAATGCCCGTGCCAGGCTGCGCTGCAGAGCCGCTGCTCGAAGTAGAAATATCCAATTTCAGCGGCATCATCCCCTTCCGCAGCTGTTCCTGCCTGTGCATCGGGCGGGTCCACTTCGTGCCCTCCTCGTACATGGCCTGATATATCTTCGCCTGCAAACTGCGAGCGGCGAAGTCCCTGTCGGCCGAGGTAGGGTTAGTCCCAAAGGACATATTCCTGCGATGTCATGTCTTCAAGGTGTTGTTTACCAAAGACTGGATCGTGAAATCGAACGTCTCCTCGTTGATGGAGATACTGATGCACTTAGTATCTTGTGACATCATATGTGCATGGGCATCATTCGCAGCAGGTGTACCTACGGTTGGCTCTGGGCCAGATGCCTCATTGGCGAGCAATGGGTCATCTCCGCACTGAAGGTTGGCCGAAATAGTAGACGACATCGACCCTTGATCCTCAGTAGCCGCCCCATGCTCGTCAGCCTTGAGTGCCAGATGCCCACAAGGCGCCTTCATCAAATCAAGTACTCTTGCACCCTTTCCGAATAGGATCTTGCACATCTCCGCGCAAGGGATGATCATCTTCTGGTGCCCCTGCTCCAGGATCAGGATGGCTCTCATGTTGGACGCGCTCCTCATACCCAGGATGGCAGGGAGGCTTCCCCAAGAACCCTCATCTACATTTGCCGAATAAGTATCGAGTCTCGGCACAGCAGGTGCCCCCGCCGGATCTCCCGATTCTTTGCGCGCAATCTTGCAGTGCAGGGATTTATCACATGTCGCGGCGCCATGTCCCACTCCTGACACGCAACGCCTCTTCGTCAGGTTCAGCCCCTTGATGGCGCGTCCGTGGAGGCGAGATCCCTGTTCAGATGTCTGTTCCGTCTTTATGCCGATGATATGGCATATTGCTGCCGATATCCAGAAGAATAGTCACCATACCATTGATCATAGTTCCACCCTTACTTGAATCACCGCGGCGGTTGCGATCTGGTTCCGTAGGTTATAACTGTTTAGAATCAGGTTCGCCTGATTCTGGAACTTGGTTCTAACCAAGTTCTAACTTGTTTCTGAGAGCCTCGGAGAGTGGGTTCGAGGGCCAGAAGTTGGAGGAGGAGGAAGGAGAAAAGAAGGAGGAGGGGGATGAAGAAGAGGAGGAGGAAGAAGAAACTAAATGAGGAGGGGGAGGAAAAAACTTAGGAGGAGAAAGAAAAAGGAGATGAGGGGGAAGAGCAAGAGGAGGTCGGAGGAGGACTAAACGGAGAAGGAGGAGCAGCGGGAGGAGGTGGTTGCGGGAGGAAGAGGAGTAGGAGGAGCTTGTTGGCAGAGCTTCAAAACCACGAAACCGAATATGCAATGGCTGAACATCGCGGGCCTCAAAATCCGATCTCAAGGGTCAGCCTGACAACTTCGAGAGCCTCATCCTCCTTCTCCTTCCTCCCCTCCTGCCTTCCCCTCCTGCCTCCCCCTCCTCCTGCCTCTGCTTCTCCTCCTTCCCCTCCCAACTTCTCATTCCCCTCCCGCAAGCACAATATCGAACATGTTTCACCACCCAGTTCCATGGCGTGAGCTCTCGTGACCTATCTATCAGCAGATCTCAACTTCAACCTCGGCGGAAAGATGCAAGTAGCCACCTTGCCTGGGGAAGCTGGCCAAAAAATGCAAGGTTCTACTATGCGCGTGGCGTCGACCAGAACAGTAGACTCTGCAACCCTGACTTTTGCACAAGTCCCTTGAAAATCTAACACCTGCCACTCAGACAAGACAGCGCATAGCTCGCTGCCAACCCGAAGGAAGAGGTGCACCTCCCCAGATGTGACCTCTCCAGTGCTATGCAAATATGCTACACAATCACCTATCTGGATTGCTCTGAATTTGACATAGCACACCCTAGCGCTAGTTACGCCCTGATCAAACGCGAGAGGCACAGCATTTCGAATACACGTGCACAAGTCCTTACTAGCAGGCTTCTCACCCACAAGATCAACCTTACCGAGACTTTGCTCATTCAGGCTCCACATGTGGTGCGCTGTCAAATCGAGCATGACACATTTTTCAAACCCAACTAGGTTACGCCTATCTTGCACATACCTCTTCACGAGCCGATGCTTGCGCTCCTGTAGAAAACACGAGAGGAGCAGCCCTTGTTTTCGCATCGTATCGCCGAGGTGCAACGCACAGTGGTCTTTAGGCTTGTAGAAATCAATCCCCCACACTCTTCTCTGCAAACGAGCATGCTTTAGTACGGCGCTGTGGACCTCCTCGGGAGTCACGATGCCACTATCTGCGATTTGCAGCAGGCCGATTACCTCACAACCAGCTAAAAGAGATTCACACTTATCTGCAAACATCGCAACTTTCTCAATCACCACTGACCTGACGAAATGGCCAAGAACTGGTGCGAACGAGACCAGATCAGAAGCGCTACCTGTAAGCTTGCCCTGGGAGCACACCTCATCTGCTTTAGCATACCCCTGAGGCCACTGCCAGTGCGAAAGGTACTCAGCCAGACAAGCCCACCCCAAGCCGTGGCCGTCCAGCAAACCTATGAATGCCTCTGCTTCGCGCGAAAACATGCCAGTGATGAGAAGGCAATGCATCCAATCCCATGCCAGCACGTTTGGCAAGTCCAAGTCAAGGTGAGGGTCTTGAAGGATTCCGCCTGGAACGTAGCCGAAGCCCCACAGTTTTTCTTTCTTTGTCATCTCGATTTGCCCTTCCTCCTCCAAGGACAATTTCAATTTCCTCTGGATGCCTTGTATGGTTTGTTTCGTGTGCAAATCGAACTTCTCCACTTCAACAGAGTGCGCTGGCAACAAATAGCCTGCTCGGTCCCGCTGCAGCAGCAGGGGCCTCGGGAGACATGCGTTTTTACAAAGGCAGCAGGGCTTGATGCCCCCGCTGCCTTTACAGTGCACGACAAACTTGTGTGCTCGCTCATCCTGGAACAAGCTGGCCACAGTTCCATGGATGAACGTGGGTACGCCGTCTATCGGAACGGAAACGCCATCTCGCATATCGTGGCCCGACGGCCTACCATACATGAGCTTCATACAAGCCAGCATGACAGCAGATATTCCACCCTCTATCTCCTCGCACACCTCTGTTCGTAGGACGCGCAGGGTTTGCCAGCAAAGTTCACTTGAAAGCATTGGGTACGACAACTCTTTCCACGCATAGTATATCGCCCAACTCTTTCTGTGATTAACCTCTAGCAGCACATACCCAGGGGCCACTTCGCCAGAGTAAATGAGCAGGGGCAACTTCCCTCCAGACCGAGCAAGTGCGTCTAAAATCATAGCCTTGTAGCTCCTCGAATACTTGCTTGCAGCCTCTATCCAACCAAGCGGGTGCTGCGCGTAAACCTCCTTGTCCGAACCAGGGATAACTAAAGGTTGCACGAGTGGTCCGAACTTGGTGTTGGGGCAAGCCAGCTTGAGACGCTCCCTTGCTTGTGTGGAAGGGCTGTAGTGGTCGGGCAGGCCCTCCCTCTCGATCTGCTTCATCAAGTCAGCGATGCCAGATTGTGAAACATATGAGCGCTTCCCAAAGCTACTGACCTTGGGTTTCTTTGGGGCGGACATTGTGCTCGAATGACAAACGTACTTATCGAGCTTGAGCCAAAATGACTACGGAAAACACGTCGAGCTTTAGACGGGAATGGCAGTGGAAACACAATGGCAGGGTGCGCGCCCTCATAATCATGCGCCGGGTGCTGCCTTTCACGGACCTCGAGGGGGCCTCGGAGCAACTGGGAACCAAACTGCAAGCCAGTAAAAACCAACGTTTTCCGACGCAAGACTTTCGAAACCAATGTTGCGAAGCCAATGCTTGCACAGGGGGAATAGGGGGAGGTGGAGGGAGGGGGAGACAGGGAGAGAGAGGGAGAGCGAGAGATATATATAGAGAGAGGGGGAGAGAGAGAGAGAGAGAGAGAGAGAGAGAGAGAGAGAGAGAGAGAGAGAGAGAGAGAGAGAGAGAGAGAGAGAGAGATGCGGGGTGGAGAGGAGCGGGATGATAAAGGCGAGAGGGAGGAGTAGTATGAGGAGGGGGAGGGGAAGGAGAACGCGGGGGAGGGGGTGGATGGGAGGAGTGCAATTCGTTTCACTACTCGGGAGCATGAGAACTCAACTGGCAACCCCGAAGCATATCCCATGGCACCGTACGTGCCATATGGAAGGACGCAGCTGCACGTGCACACAATCCCCCATGTGTGATCGCAGCATGATCTGCAAACCCATGCGCGCCTATAACCCGAAACTCTATAGTGATGCCACTGCACATGTAAATACAGCAACGATGGATGAGTGACGCGCTGTCGGAAACGTGCTGACAGAAAGCGAAACTACTCACAGGGTGTCCCAGACACGAGTGGCCAACTTATACGCCTCGCCACTGAACCACTTGAGCTCATCGGGGGACTTTGCGAAGTGCTGGGCCTGTGTCTTGGCCCTGCCACACACCTTACTGCCGAAGGCGTTCTTGGAGCAATTAGCGTTCTCCTTTGTCAAGTATTCGGAAATGTCGATCGAACCACTCTTGCCCTTGATGACACCTACGGGCAGGAGGGGCGAGGAAGGAAAGGCGGAGGAGGAGGAGGAGGAGGAGGAGTTGTTTCCAAGTCGTTTTGAAACACAAGTCAGATGATAAGATCCTGAAAACGAACTTGAAATCAGGAGGGAGGGTGAGGAGGAGGATGAGAAGGATAAGGTAGATACTACAGTTGAGCCGCCCGAGTGACCCTGCACTCCAGCGACTGGGCCCGCACGAACCACAGGAGCACCCTTAGCAGCTGCTGGCCTCCGCATGGCTGCCGCTGGTTTCGCTCGGACGGTCGCGCTCTTCATGGCCTTCATGCATTTCATGGGGGCCAGGGCCGAGTGGCCGCTGGCGGCAGCATCGGCCATCTTCCGCTCGAACGAGTCGGCTTCGTCGTCATCGTCGCCCTCCTTGCCGCTGCCGCCTGCCCCAGCTCCAAGTAGAGGCGAGCCACCAGATTCGGAGCCAAGGCTCTGGCTCTGACTGTCCGCTGCTTTTGCCCCAGCCATCGGCACCGTGGCAGACAGAGTGCCAGCGCTCCTCGAACGAGACCTCGATTGACGCCTGCCAGCTCCGAAGATCTGGATGGGGATCTCACCGTCGTCGCCACCACTGCCGCGAGCGCACTCCTGCTGCGCCCTCGGGAGAGCTGCGCCGTACATCGCCAGCTGGGCCGAGTAGCCCATGGGCAAGTCATGAGGGGCCATGTCGCGACCACGAGATCCACTCTCACGGGAGCTCAGACAAGCAAGCTCATCGCCATTGGAGCGAATGGTCCTGTGGGTCTCCTTGTAGCCAGTCGCGCACACCATGCTCTCGATTGCAGCCTTGTCCAGCTCAGTCGATGACGGCGTCTTCGGGGCACCATCGCCGTAGGCAAATTGGCGCACCTCAGCTGGCAAGCTGGATGGGTTCTCGGGGAAGGCCTTGATGTGAGGGCCCTTGTAAGCCTTCGACTGGTCGAGGTTCTTCAACTCGCTCTGGACGTACCTCATCAAGCGCTGCTTCTCCTTGGGGGCGACGTGGGAAGACGCGCCCTTGCCAGCCACGATGACGATGCACACCAGCCTCTTCAAAGTCGCTGGGGAAGGGCAGGTGAGTCCGACCCTGTAGAGACGACGGGCCATGCATTCGAGCTTCCCCTCCTCGGACACCCGCCTGTCGAGAATCGTCGCCCACTCCTCGGCCATCAAATAGTTGTGCGCCCCGACCATGGTCTGCTGCGCCCGAGCGGAGTTCTTTTTCTCGGTGTGTGCGGTGGTGGCGCGATCGACTGCCTCAGCCAAGGCAATCTTCTGCTCGTCGTTCCAGTCGCCCTCGGCAATCACTCGAAGGACTGGGCCAACGGTGGTTTCGGTGAGCCCATCGGCCTCGGCGATCTCGGACAAGAGGCGGCTGCACTGGCTCTGCAGCACGAACTCCTTGCTCAAGCCAAGGTTCACCTGCTGGGCGATGAACTCGCACCGATGCCTGATGCCTGTCACGAGCGCGCAAGCGGCAGCACTATGAGGCTCCATGGGCCCGCGAGGTGATGCCTAGCGCCGACGAGCAGCTGCAAATGGTCAGCCACAAACTTTGTTTGAGCCAAAAACTGCTACGGAAAATGTTGGCAAACACTGCCCCAAAGCGACCCGATGTAAGGTCGCATATTGTGTTCTCGTCACACCGTGAGGCGTGCGGCGATGACGGATAGCTTAGATAGACCACACTCCTTCAGACACCTCTGAGACCAGAAACGCCAGATTTCCCCGAACAAAAACGCCAGATTTCTCTGGGCAAAAACACAAATCGGAACCCCAGAAGTCGGACCGATATGCAAATAATATGCTTGAGCCCCTCGAGCCCCACGAGACACCATTTTGGGCTCAGGGTAGCTCGCGGCGACCCTCGCCTTGAGCTACCCGTAGCTCGAGGCGACCCTCGCCTCGAGCTACCCCCATGCAAGCATGTAGGGTAGCTCACGGCGAGGGTCGCCTCGAGCTACTCGTAGCTCGAGGCGAGGGTCGACTCGAGCTACCCTGAGGCTTTCGGTACTCTTGCAAACCTGAGGGCTCTGGATCAGAGAATTTAGCACCGAAAGATGCGCTACCAGAGGCTACTTACAGTGTTCAGGCAGCTCCGATGGCAGCTATTTGATCGTGCAGTCTGTGAGCGCATTGCTATGGTTTCCCCCACGGAGAGCACCCGATGCTACGCTCACGCAGTAGCTGCCGTGCTCGACCTACACATGCATGACGCGCGCTATGCCCACGTCGTCTAGCGGTCAGATCTAAGACGCTCCGAATTACATGTAGCTAGGTATGCCCTACTAAAACTCGTCAGGCTCCGTGTGGTGCTGGTTGAAGTACTCCTGCATGACCCTGGCTAGGCGATCCGTAGCCTCCTGGAAGGCCTCCTTGTCGTCGAAATCCGCCTTGACCTTCATCACGTGCTTGCGCCACTTCGCCCCGTTGAGGTCGAAGTAGTGGCACATCAAGGACTTGCGATACGCGAGCCACTGCACATTCTCCTCGCTGATAGCTGGTTCCCAATCGTCCCCAGCAAGAGGCTTCATGGAGAGAAGGGTCATGTTTGCATCCGCAAGCTCCAGCACCAAGGGGGAGCGCTTGTAGGGCGCGCTCAGGACCTTCACCGCGTGCTGCTGCCCGCTCGCATCGCGAACGGTCACCTCGATGATCTTGTCCACCTCGTCAATCATGGAGCGCTTGGCCTTCTTCAGAGCAGGCCCAGGCTGTTGATCGCTCGCCATGGCGTCATGATCCTCGTCGGCATCGGCGATCGCGGCCATGAGCTCGGTGCACTTCAGCGCCCGAGCGTCCTGGATCGCCTCAATCATGGTGAAATCATTGTTCACCAGCTTGCCGAACGTCAAGCTCCTGCGTGAGCACTCGGCGAAGTTGAGCCCCGAGTGCTCAATCACCTTAGTGACCCAAGAGTTGCCTGGGGTAGGCTGTTCTTGCGTAGAGACGCATGCGAAACCGAAGGCCACGCGCGCCATCGCAATAGCAAGTGAGAGGGCCGACGCAGAACTCAAAGCAAACCCGCTTGAGCCACTGAGCTACGGAACGTCGTTTTAGGATGGCGTCACGCATGGGAACACCGTTTCGACCATTATCGTCTGGTCAGCGCGTGGGAATCTTTCGGCTCGGACCCCTCGGGGCCGAGCCAAGGCCGGAGAATCGGCTGGAAGAGGCCGGGGAAATAAACGCCTGGTCAGAAGATAAGGCAGGGCATCTGACACTACCAGAGGCTTCCTAGAAGGCGAATACAGGGGCCCCCAGTGGGACTTCTTAGACACTCCCTTAACTACCAGAGGCTTCTCAAACATATCTTATTTTATGCTATGGGCGGGCATGTCCACCCGCCTAAGGTCTGGGGGGGAGTCGGAGGAGGAGGGGGAGGAGGAGGAGGAGGAGGAGGAGGAGGAGGAGGACGACGACGACGAGGATTTCACACTCTTTCGCATTGCTAGCAAGCGAGCGCTACTTCGGCTGGTTCGAAACTGACGCCTGATGCGATAGACCACAGAGCACTTAAGCGCGCCCCTGAGCAGCTCTGCGCACGATTCCCCGATGCGTGCACCGCTCGAGGACCAACATGCAACGACACCTCCTAGTGAACTGTCGATCGTCGAACAACCTTTAGACACCTAGCCACATGGTGTTGGTTGGACTGCATACTTATCTAATTGCGTGGATCTACGATCAGGCTGGAGAGATCTATAGCGATGCTGTCTGACATCACGCGCCTCGGCCGTGAGTCGAAAACGCTGCCTCTTAAAGTCTGACCCTCCTTCCTCCTCCCCTCTCCCTCCTCCCCCTCCCTCCTCTCGCCTCCTCTTTTGGTTTTTCACATGGCATCGAAACAGAAAGCTGCTCCTCCTCTTCATCCATTTCCTTTTTCTCATCCTCATCCTCCTCCCACCATCCCTCCTCCCTCATCCCTCCAACCCTCCCTCGTCCCTCCCCCTGCTGTGCTCGGGAGGTCAGCTCGGACTCGGGCCAAACCACTGGCAGCCATGTCAAGCCTGCCTCTTGCCCTTGCCCTTACCCCCCTTGCTGGAGGTAGGCGCAGATGAGGCGGGGGCAGACGAAGGAGCAGGGGCCACCAGCAGCTCTGCCCCCATCCTGGATCACTTTGTGATTCCACATGCAGGGCACTGCGATAGAACTGGGGCGCGTCTTGCCGACGCCCTTCTCTGCAGGAGGGTCGGCGCCCAACTGGATCTTCACAAGCCCGAGGGTCATGTTAGGATTGCCCCCAGTCTGCACACACAAAAAAAAGGCGGGAGGAACGGGGAAGCCTTCGCCTTCCCAGGGGTAGCAACGGACGACGGATACTCGAGCTTAGGCACAACATAAGCAAACTGGTTACTTGGAATCCCAGGAATTGTCGAGAGCTGCGTGCCAGTCGGGGGAACCTTGGCACCTACATATACCGTAGAAGATAAGGGCACGAGCATCAGCTGGCCCTTCTCGTACTTACGAAGAGCTTTCACGCCCTTGCCTGTAGGCCGAGGCTGCTCTGTGAACATTATCTTGACCTCAACGAACTTCTCAAAAAACTTGTACGCGTGAAACAGCGAGAGGAGCAGCGTCGACTTGGCGTTACTCAGCTTGATCTCATTGTTATCCTGGGGGTGGGCGGGCCGCTTTTCCCCCTCGTCCTCATTGCCCGAGTTTCAGCCTATCAGGCTTATAAGCCTCCTCTGTTGTTTTTTCGACACGACTTGAAAATCGAAATCCTCATCCCTCCTCCCCGTCACTATCCTCCTTAGTATCTTACTGCCCCTACCTTACCCCTCCCTTCCCCTCCCACGCCCCTCCCTTGCCTCCCATCCCTGCCCTTCCCTCCCGCTCTTCCCTCCCCTCCTCCTCCCCCCTCCTCATTTCCCCTCCCACGGGAGTCCAGGAAGGAATCGAGCGCGCAGTCGCTGCTGCCCACGACGGTCTCCATGATGCGCTCTGGCTCCACCACCTGCTGGCGTGCAAACGGAGGTGGAGGAAGATACTGAACTCGAGAAAAGCTGGTCAAAACTCAAGGTTTCGAACATCAAGATTTCAAAACAAACCTCGTGTAAACCTGTGTTTTTTGAAGACGTTGCAAGGCTTTGGAGGAGGGGGAAGGATGAGGATGAGGAGGAGGAGGAAGAGGATACGGATGGAGAGGAGGATCAGTCGATGTTTCAAGGCCTTCTGAAAACTCTAAGGTGAGGTGGAAGAGGAGGAGGAGGAGGAGGAGGAAAAGAAGAGAAAGGGGGGCGTTATGATGAGGAAGACGAGGATGAGGCGGAGGAGGGGGAGGGGGAGCAGAAGGACGGCGACCTTCCACTGGTCGACGAGCGTCGTGATGGCCACGGGCTTCGCATCCACCTCCTCGTCGTCGTTCTTGGAGTC